TCGTTGGCTCCTAAACCATGGACTGTATCAGTAGCTAATGTGTGTTCACAGTGTACCAGGCACCGTGCTAGCCTTGCGTGTACAGCCTTTCCTTGAACCCTCGGAGTCCGTGCGGCAGGTCCCGGGATTACTGGCCTCACTTTCATGTGAGGCAATGAAGGCACAGAGGAGGAAGGTGACCTAATAAGGAAGAGTTCATTTCAGCAAAACCGTGGGCCAGGGTTTCTGAGAAGGGTTTTGTATACACGATCTTATTTTATCCTGCAAGTATGTCCTTCCTCCAGTTGACTCGTGAAGAAATGGAGATCAGGTGGGTGGTGGCTAAGGAACCTGCTCGGGGTCCCACAGTTGGTAAATGACATAGCGTGAGTCGAGCCCCAGTCCTCCTGACTTTATAGAAGCAAATGCTTTATTGCTTCACGTACTCGGTAAGCAAGTGTGGATCTGTTCAATTCACCATGCTTTTCCTGGGGAAACTCAAGCCCCTGAACCAACCAGTATGCCTCAAAAATGCCACTTGCGTCTCATGACACCCATCCTTCCACCTGTATGTCCTCTGTCTTACTACCAGCTGGTCGCGTGCCACCTCCAGCGCCCAGGTTAGCCTGCCTCTTGCTTTCTGCTAACTTATTGCTGCATTTTTTTTTTTTATCCTCACCCAAGGACATTTTTCCATTTTTTGTTCAGATAGAGCGGGAGGGAGAGAGAGGAAGAGAGAGAGAGAGAAACATCGATGTGAAGGGAAACATCGAGTGGCTGCCACCCGCACGACCAACCAGGGCCGGGGACAAACTGCAACCGAGGTACGTGCCCTTTGCGGGAACCGAACCCGGGTCTCTCTGTACCGCAGGCCGACGCTCCAACCGCTGAGCCAAACTGGCCAAGGCTAATTGCTGCATTTTTAAAACAATTATTTAGCTAAGGCATCAAAGAAAGGTCTAAAACTGTAAAGACTGTCCTACTTAGAATACTTTCAATTTATCTACAATTATTTATCTACAATTTATTTACCGCACAGGATTATTAGAGTGGGATTATTCCAAAGCCTGGACTATAGAAAGTGCTCAATAAATGATTAGCTAAATAGCATATTTATAGTAGCAAGTATTATTATCGTCACTAAATTAATGTCTCTGCTCCAGGGGGAAAATGAGTGCAGAATATCACTTTTCCAATTATTCTTCTGTACAGTATTATTAAAATGTCATTTTATAATATATACTGTTCTCAATATGCTTTATTTAATACAATAAATGTTCAATAAATAGTTATTGTACAATGAGCCATAATTTATGTATTCCGTCCCCTACTAGAGAACTTTGGAGTCCAAACACCCTTCTAATTACACAATTATATATATAAATGATGCCATTGCAGTACAAGCACACAGTGCATTAGAAACATGAAGCGTGGCTGTATGTAATAAATACACATGTAGCCCTGACCAGTTTGGCTCAGCAGTTAGAGCGTCTGCCTGCGGTCCTGAGAGACCTGGGTTCGGTTCCCGCTAAGGGCACGTACTTCGGTTGCAGTTTGTTCCCGGCCCTGGTTGGGTCGTGGGGGAGGCAGCCACTCGATGTGTCCCTTTTACATTGATGTTTCTCTCTCTCTCTCTTTTACTCTCTCTCCTCCCACTCTGTCTGAACAAAAAAATGGAAAAATGTCCTTGGGTGAGGATAATAAATAAATAAATACACATACAGACAAGCTAACAAACACTCCCGTGTGGACGTGTGTCTCAGGTGCCCTCTGGTGTATTTATTTCATGATGTCCCTGGAATATATGCTGATAAATTCGCCTCAGAAAGAAAACGTTAAGCCAAGGGGTTTAGGACTTTGGAATAGAGGGTGACTCTCCCACGTTTGTTTCCAGTGTTTCTGTATTGATTTTAAGTCCTTGGCAGGACAGCTTGACTAAGACAAGACCCAGAACCCAGGCGTGATGACAAAGGGCAGCAGCGAATTTTGGATAGAACAGAAAATAATCTTCTTAATCTTTTTTAAATAAGAAGGAAGGAATGATTGGGGGAGGCAGGAAAAGGAGACAGAAAATGCTTTCTCCCAATGGTTACTTGGACTGTTCTTGTCTGATTCTACAGTGTAACAATTGTAGGTCTTTTAATGGACATGATATTATGACAGATTTTTCTTCCTTACATTTTCCTGGGACCAAACATGCAGCGGTTCACTTTCTGCCAGCAGGCTGGAGGTCGGCCCCCCTACATTAGTCCTCGGAAGCCCAGAATACCCCGAGCCCGCAGAACGGGAGTGTCCACAGCCCTCGGCACTGTCGTGTTTGCCGATGTCCGCCACGAGAGCCAGTGGCCTGTGCAGGGTGGCGGGAGGTGGGTGTCGCTGCTGACTGAAGGCAGTGGCCCAGGACAACCAGGTGTGGCAGCTCAGCCCGAGGACAGTCACTCCAGGCCCCAGATGAAGACACTGACTATCAGGGTGGCTGCACCCAGGACAAGAAACCGAGGCCTGTAGTCCCCACCGTGCCAGGGGAAAAGGAAAAGGGCCTTTGTGACTTTCCTGTTTTTACTAAAAAAAAAAAAGGCTTAAATGGGACCCTTCAGCACTGTGAATGCAGATGGGGCCCTGGTGGGCTGGGGGGCAATTAGGCTGGACGCTGAGCCCATAAAACCAAAAGGGGGTAGAAACCCAGACAATAGTGTTGCAGGCTGTGGTGGGGTGGAGGGGGACCGGGGCTGACAGCGAGGAAGGAGTTTCAGTGTGAATGAATACTAATTAGTGACATGGATATTAATGATGACAGTAATTAACAGGGGAAAGGAAGGGCTGTCATTGTCCCAGGGTGAGTAATCAGTCTTGGCAGGTGATAAATAATGGTTCCGCCGGCTCAGCAGAAAGATAATCCGCCTGCCCGGGGGAGAGCTGTTGCTGATGCTGGAAACCTCTCCGTTTCTAGGCAACCCACAAAAAAGAACTATTTTTCTTTTGAGGAAAAAACAGGTTAGCGTCTCTCCCCCACCCCCAACTTGGGATTACAGTTCTTATTTGATTTCTGCTTTGTTCTTCATTTCCTAGGACAAATGTTGAACTTGTATAATTTGGAGGAAATGGACCCACATGCCCAAGCACACAGACACCCTCTCCCTTCCTCTCAGAGCATGTGAATGAGTAGGAGTGTTTAGGATCCCGTGTTTAGCTAGTAGATGCCAGCCAGGAGCAAGAGTGGGGAGAAGCCCCGAAGTCTCGCTGTGGAGGTTGAGACGTGGGGGGCTTGCAGGGCCAGGTCCGTGGAGGCTGGTCTGGGTGGGGGGACAACCAGAGTAGGATGGGACCCTGGCAGCGTGTGCAGAGCTCACTGACCTTCCAGAGAGCCAGGGAGAAACGGAATGTCTAGGCACTCAGACTGCACTGGCCCCCCTCTGGCAACCTTATTTGCGGGCGAGGACAATAGTTAAACCCTCTGCGGTTCTGCGGTCCTTCAGCTGGGAAGCCATCCCAGGAGAGCTTGGTGGGCCCCTCCCTCCCATCCAGCTGCAGACCCACCCCCACCAGGACTCCGATACCCGGAAATGTTACCCTTTCAGGCTGCTTTCCACCCCACATCCCATTCTGCAGTGACAGAGCCACCTTCAGAGGTCTGCAATGGTTTAAAGGGAGATATTTGGGTGACAAATATTTGGGTGGATTCATCTGAAGTTCAGATTCTCCAGAAAATTGGACTCGCTGCCCTAAGAAATGTTGGTTCTAGGTGCCACATTTTTCAAAGGGAAACAAACAAAAGAGAATTGTGACCAGAATGATGAGAGACTCCAGGGTGTGTCATGCAAGGGAACAGCTGAGGGACCAGGCATGTTTCACCTGGGGAGCAGGGGTGTGGGGGGGATTCAAGGAGACATTGATAGTATGTTAGATGTACTGCCCAAATCTTTGAAGAACTGTCTCACAGCATGAGAAGGTCTAGGTTTGTTTTTCTAGCATCAGAATGTAAAACTAAGGCCAAAGAGAGCAAGTCACAGAGTAAGTCACGTTTCTGTTCATAGAAATCAATGACAGTTTCATTGGGATAGGCCGGCTAGGAGGGAATCTATGAGATCCAAGATTCTGGAGTGTTTCTAAATGGAAATTACAGCCCCTCCTGTCTAGGGTGTTGTGGATGGGTCTCGGGTGTTGGCTGTGGTTGTTTTAAAAGTTCCTTCTGATTTTTCATTAGCTAAGATAATGCAAGATACCAAAACAGGTAAACCCCAGATTTCTGGGGCTTAACATGACAAACTTTCAATCAGGACAGAGCCCAACGTGGGCATCAATTTTCATGGTTGTTCAGAATCCCAGGCTCCTTCCACATTGTGGCTCTGACCTTCCCTGGCCCTTGAAGTCGTCTTCATTCAGCCAGCAGATGGGAACAAAGTATATGGAGCTGTGGAGGGTCACGAGGGGTTTTTATGACCCAGGTCTAGAAGTGGCATACATCATTTCCACTGTCAGAATGCAGTCCACACCAAACTGCAGGAGCACCTGGAAGTGTAACCTAGCCCAGGGCACAGGTGAGTTCACAGAAGTCTCTCCCACAGACACAGAGCTACTTTTCTTCAGGGTAGGCCTGTGCTAGAAGAAATTGGAAATTTTTTTTCAAGAACCTGGTCAGCCCTTGTCAGTAAGGTAGGCAACTGAAGGGCCTCTCCCCACAGGAAATGGGCTGAGGGCCAGGCGTGATGGAACTTCACCAGCCTGTCTCTGGGAAGTCATCAAAATCTATATTAACAGGAAGACCCCCGTAGGTGCTCCTAGAAATGTGGACACAAGATCCTTCGGAGTCATCAGAGTGGATGTGTTTTGGGAAGAATGAGATTATGACTGTGGAAGTGCCCGATGGGTGGAGAGAGTTTGTTGGGGTAGAAAAGCATCAGTATTACCCAGCTCTCCGAGGGCGCACTAATTTCAACTAGGAATCTCTTGGGTAAACCTGTTTCTTCTGCCACAGGGCTTACACCCACGAGGCCTTCAGTTGAACTGCTTTATCGTTGCAGGTACGGACATTGTGCAGTGGCTCATGAAGAACCTTTCCATCGAAGATCCAGGTACTTGACCTTCACCCCGGCTTTATTCCCCAATGGTGTCGGTAAAGCTCCCCAAACCAAGTCCCAGACTACATCCTCCTGCCCTCCAGACGACTGGTCTTCTATGTGAATTCCAAGATGTGGAAACCCTCTACTTACAAATGAAATTGATTTCTTTTCTCCGCTGAACATCTATCTTTCCGTGTAAATCACCCTTTGAGGAAATGAGCAACCATGGAGAATGCCAAAGAGCCCAATACAATAACGTGTAAAATGAGCTGAACTCTCATTAGCCACAGCAATTAAACGTAAGTTGTGGCGCTGTCACTGAACAGCTTTCCAGAGCCAGATCTTAAAATTAGATTACCTGATCCACAATTAAGATGTTTAATTATTCGCTAAGATGCCTTCTGTTTTCTGCTTCTGCAAGAAGTGAAGGAATGGTTTTCTGCAACTTTAATGGTGCATTTCAATTAAGAAAACCCTACCAGAAAAACAACAACAGAACTCCGGCCAATAAAAACAGTTTCCAAATCTGCCCTCCCACCAGTAAATAAGCAGTAAAATTAATTTTACGGCATAATTAGGAAATGGGGAGTTCCAGAAAAATGAAAAGTCTGGATAAGTATAGCCTATTGCCCATGTGTTGTTAGTTCATACTTTGCTGAATTTATTCACTCCCTATCTTAACTGAGTGTTCTTAATGCCTATATTTCTTTTTTTAAATGTGTTTTCATTGATTTTTTTTGAGAGAGAGAGATATGGAAACATCAATGTGAGAGGGAAACAGTGTTCAGCTGCCTCCTGCACGCCCCCCACCGGGGATCAAGCCTACAGCCTGGGCATGTGCCCTGACCAGGAACCTCTCAGTCCCTGGGTCGACACTCAATCCATTGAGACACACCAGCTGGACGATGCCTATATTTCATATTTATAAATACTCACACATGTATTCTGATGTACTTATGGATGAGACCTATTTGCCCCAAATTATATGACCTCCAATTGCTATGCTTTTTAAAAATTGCTATGCTTTCTAAGTGTCTGACCTCCAGCTGTGATTCCTTGCTGGGGTCAGTATGTCAGCTCAGGCGTTCCTGTATCTGATGCTCCTAATATACTATTGATGACAAAATACAATTTACATAGAACTTGATAAAATATAGTTGCCGAAAACCCGAGTGCCAGGAAAGCAGGTCATTAAAGTGAGGGAGGGTCGCCTGTTTCACCGCCCTGATGCACGGCCACTCTCATGACCGGGGAAAACTCTTACTTCAGGTCAAGTTCTTCATCCACAGCGGAGAACTGTCCACACCAGTCCGTGTACAGAAAGACCCCTAATCAACCCGCCTGTGTGTTGCAGTCTGGACTTCTTCCGAGTGTCACTTATAAACTGGACCGAATCAGTCTCTACCAGCTTAGTTACTTGTCTTTAAAGTCAACATCTCTTCTGGTTATGATGCTGAACTAGGGACCACCTTTCTTCACGGTGGTCTCTTCTCTTCCAGAGCACTGTCTCCTCGCCCTTCTAAAGTAGAAGGTACTACTGACACATTCTATTACTGTTGTTGTTAGTAGTAGTACTAGCAGCAGTATAGCAGCAGCAGCAGTAGTGATAGCAGTGGTTCGGAGTTGGATTCTGAGAACCCGAACCAGCTGGAGGTAGAAGTAGGCTCGGCAATCCTCCCTGACCCCACTTTAGGAGCTTTTATGAAAGGGCCACTGTGATGAGGGGCATGTCTGGGGAGCTCTGCTGGGCTCCGATGCCCTGGAGAGAGCATCCAGTGTTGGGAACGGTCTAGGCTCCTGGGAAGTGGTTGAGCAGCAAGAGTTGGGAACAGTTCTCCAGCTGGGAACAGACGGGCGGAACGAGGCCAGCTGAGGCCCTGGGCAGCCAGACGCGCCACCGAGCACGCCTCTCTCCCGTTCCTCCCTCCGCCCCGCGTCTCAGCAAAGCCCTTTTGCTCGCAGAACGAAGCCAGAGTCCTAGGTCTAGGCTGTTGACATGAAAGCCCCCTTCCTGCTGGATTTTTTACCTTCCTCTCCTGGAAAAGGAGCGGCTGCGGGCGATGAAACGTCCCTTTTTGGCTGGACCCATGACTCTGAAAGCATATAGAATTGAAACGGCAAACTGGTCATCACGAAGCAAGTAAAATAAAACTCCATTCTTTTCTGTCCCACCAGTACACGGCCCGTTCCTGCCAGAGGGGGCCAGGTGGTTCTCGGTAAACAGGGCGCCCGGGTTGTACGTAGCCCCTTGAGGAGCTGGCAGGTGAAGCCGAAACAGTCTCTGTAAAAAATTTGGAGCTTGTGAAATCAGTCATTCCCAGAGACTCCTCTTCACGTCGCTGATTCCCAAATTCGAAAGTCAGTTTTCACCAGTAGGAGTACTTTTATATTTGTAAAGATCCCTTTTATTTTATCATGCATAGTAGAATCATTTAAATGTATTATTTTTCTTAGCTCTGCTCAGAATAAATATATATTCTTAGTGATCTATGTGAATCTATTTATGGTTGGTGCTAAATTAACAAAACATGTGGCCACAATATAAGTACTTTTATCCGATTGGCCTCCCTGTGCCGTTGCCCACCACCCTGCCCACCACAAAAGTGAGGCTCGCCTGTCTGTCCCTCAGAGGAGGGACCGTCACGTGGGGAATGCAGCGTGAGCGCAGTCTCTGTGGGCGGCGAGGCTGCACGTTCCGTGCTGAGGACCATCAGAAATGATGAGAATAAGAACATGACCCAGGGCCACCGGCACTTATGAGCACCTCCCAGCCCCTGCTAAGCCTTCCTGGGAAATAGTTCAGTGCAGGTTTATCTGCACCAAAGCTCGGTGCTCTTAACCATCAGCACGTTCTTCTGGGAGCCTTGGTGGTGGGCGAGGGTAAAGCAATGTCGGATTCTCACCCCCGGCCCGTGTGAGCCCATCACAGAGTTATCCGTCCAGCAGTCAGTCTGTCATGCGGTCATCTGGGGAGGATGACAGTTGACTTCCAGCTGCCTTTCTGACCCCACAGCCCGCAGTTCAGCTGAGAAGCCCCGCACTCTGACAGCTTCCTAATCACTCCTCTCCCTTGTGCCTGTCCCCGCAGTGGAAGCAATACACTTGGGAAGCCTCATAGCTGCCCAGGGCTACATCTTCCCCATCTCGGACCATGTTCTCTCCATGAAGGACGATGGCACCTTTTATCGGTTCCAGGTAGGCCTGCCAGCTCCTTCTCCTGAAAACCCTTCTCTTCCCATCGGATCGCAGACTAGAACCACATAGCAAAACTGAGGGTGCTTAAGGGAACGACCCTTCCCTCCCATCCACTCTGGGAAAACCGAGAACCCTGTTGTCTGGGCCATTTGTTGTTCCACCCGAATAAGACAAAAGAGCCCTCAGGGAGAACCTACTAGTTATTGGACATACTAGTTATGTTTCCTCATTTATTCTGAAGAACAAACTTTGGGGGGAGGGGGCAAATACCACCCATTTTGCAGATGGGGAAACTGAGGTGTTCTGAGAATGAACAGGCACTTGGTAAATCTGAGACAGCCTTGATCGGAACCTAGGTGGGCCTGAGAGCGCAGTCCTTGACCTTCCTGCTGTATCACGCTGACTTCCTGGTGTGGGGTTTCTGCTTGCTGCCTGCTAACCCTTCGCACCCATTTTCCACTCCTTTCCTCAGATCCTGCCCGAGGTCTGGGGCAGAGGATGCGGGGTTGCCTCAAGGTCAAAACCAAAGGGCTTGGGAGCAGAATTCTTCAGACGGGGCCCAAGGGTACCTTAGTCTGCTCAGGCTGCCTGGCAGTGTACCTCAGGGGGGCAGCTTAGACAGTAAGCATTTCTTCCTCACAGTTCTGGAGTCCGGAAGTCCCGTCGGGGTGCCAGCAGGATTTAGTTTATGGTGAACGTGTTCACCTGGCTTTCAGACCGCTGCTGCTTGTGTTTTTGAGACAGAGAGAGAGAAAGAGATTGAGAGAGAGAAAGAGAGAGAGAGAGATCTGTTGTTTCCTCTTATAAGGACACTAATCCTATGGGATCAGGGTCCCACCCTCATGGCCTCATTTAACCTTAATTACTTCCTTACTCCAAATGCAGCCGAAGGGGGTCAGGGCTTCGTCCTACGAACTTGTGGGGACACAATTCAGGAACTTGAGGCTTGTAACCGGTAAACTGTGCCCGTCTGACTTCTGTAGTTAGACTCTATTGTCTCAGGAGGAGAACTCTTTTCCCTATGAACTAAGTTTTCCATTTTCTCATGTATTTTGTTCACGTGCATGCACTCTCAGCACCTAGGTTGAAGTGCTGTCTGGCCTCCGCTGCACTAAGAGTGGGGCAGGGCTGGCTGTGATGTCGGCGTGAAGACGGGGACACAGCCTGCCCCAGGGAGAGGTCCTCAGCGGGCGCAGGGGAGGGCGGGTGCTGCCGTGCCTGAGTCCTGACGCCTCTGCTCTCCTGCAGGCTCCGTACTTCTGGCCCTCGAACTGCTGGGAGCCCGAAAACACTGACTATGGTGAGCGGTGGGGCCGCGGCCCGCGCCTGTGCTACTCCTGGGGTGCGGACAAGCGCTCCGTGCCTGGTGGCCAGAGTGCTGGGGGGAGGTTCTTTACCCTGTTTAGCCCTTGGTCACACTGTTGACATGTCATGAACATCCTGGTCACATAATGAAGACCGGCAGAGCCCACCAAAAGATGCAGCGTGGGAAGGCGATGGGGCACGGAAGGGCCTGTCCAGGGGACCGCTATGTTCATTCTGTGGGGCCGCGGAAACGAGGGTCCCACAGCAGCACTGTAGGACCGTGGCCGTGACTGTTCCTGGAAGGACGAGGTCAAGGGCCACCTCCCCTGACCCTTTCTATTCTCACAGACTCGTGAAGACTTATTAATCACTCTCTGGTGTTTTTGATAGCTGGGATGTAAGGGAAAACAGAGACAGACCAGAGAGGGGAGTCCAGAAGTTACCCTGGCCTAGGAAATAAAGGGCGGGGGAAGTTGGCCGGTGTGGCTCAGTGGTTGAGCATCGACCCATCTACCAAGAGGTCGCTGGTTTGATTCCCGGTCAGGGCACACGCCCAGGTTGTGGGCCTGATCCCTAGTGGGGGACATGTAGGAAGCAGTCAGTCAATGTTCTCTCTCATCGGTGTTTCTATCTCTCTCTTCCTTCCTCTCTCTCTAAAATCAATTAAGAAAAAAATTTATTTTAAAAAAACTAGGTGAAGTTGGGAGCTGGGTAAGCAGGGAGTTACTTTTATAAAGGGGGGGATCTATGAGACTTGCTGTATACTCTGTGGAGACTGTTTAGTGTTTCTGTGTGCCAATCCTTTAAGGACGTGATACTGTCCCTCTACTTTAGATAAAGAAGCTGAGGCCCACCAGGCCACGCCTCCCACTTATCACGGTGGTGGCAGGTACTCCACCTGTCTGGGAGCTCCATGAGGCTGGGGCTGGTCCACCTCTTCCTTCTCACGTCCCCCAGTGCAGGCCCAAGGCATAGCTGGTGCTGGGGATTTGCTGATGGTTCTGGATCTTTATTCAATGTGCTTAGCAGACACTCAGTGGATGCAGCAGAATTTGACCTCAGATCTGAGTGGCTTCAAGGCCCATGGTCCTTCTGTGGTCCTGTGTGTGGATTGTCGCAGCAGCCTCTTCCCCCTTGGACAGCATCCTCGTCACTGACTCAGCAGCCGGGCTGTCCACAGTAGCCCTCCTCAGCACTGAAACACTTGATGAGCCTTGTCCCAGGTTCTTTGCAGAATTGTTTGCACAGGAAGGCAGAGGCAGCTGCAGCTGGGTGGTATCCCGGGAGCCCATCGGGAGACTTGTCTGATAAGCTGCACCCTCCAGATCACACATTTGAGGGAGGGGAACTAGCCGCTGGAAGCAGTCATAAGGATGGAATGTGGACAAGTCTTTGCCTAATAAGGTCACGCTTCTGTTTCCAAGTCTGGAAAATGGCCCTTAGACAGAGGACAGGACCCTCTGCTGTCTCATCAGCAGTCTGCAGGCTCCACTGTGGTCCCTCTGGAACTGTGCTGCGCCCCAAACGATGTGATAAGTGGATCCAGCAAGGCCTCTGGCTCAGAACGGGAGCGCATTTGGCTGCTTGTAAAACCAGTGCTTCCTTCCGGGAATGAGACTTTGCTAACAAAGCCCAACTCGGATTTTGAATGATCGTGGCTCGGTTGCTTGCAGCAGCCATGTGCCCCGGTGAATGTGTACGGCAGTATTTTTCCAGGCAGAAGCGAGGGTGGGAGTGTGGTAGGACCAGATAACGGGGCCCACGTAAGATTAAAATACGTACTTGGCGGTAAAGCGCAGGCCGTCTGACACTGAATACAGTGGGCATTATTCCCCTTTCTCTACAGGTTTCCTCCACTTTACAACTGTAGCTGTGCAGCGTAAACAGGGAGAGAAATAACAATTTATGTCATCAAAGCAAAATATTTTTAATTCCTCTGCCTTGATTTTGGCCAATCAGATGGAGAAGTCAAGATGCAGGATTCAAAATCACTCACCAGCATTTCCAAAGCAATTTAGTCAAAACAGGAGTATTTACCAAGAAAGAATTCGGCACAGTGGGCCCTGCATTGACTAGCTCCACCAGCTGTGTGATCTCAGCAAGTTACTTAACCTCCCTGTGCCTCAGAAACCTCAGATAAAAGCAGGATAACAATAGCACTGGTCTCCTGGTATTGTTTTGTTAGGATGACATGAAATGTAAGTGAGGCAGGTGTGTGGCACCGTGAGGAGTCAACGAAACCTCAGTGATGGGGGCTGTTATTACTCCCAGGTGCTGTGTGCTCTTTCTGGTCCGCGGTGGCCCTCTTGCCAGGAAGGATGTGAGACTGGAGCTAAGAATTCAGAGTAGGTTTAGATTGACAAGGAACCAGAAACTTTCATTCATTCAACAAACATGTACCCATCACCTACTCTGCGTCATTTGCTCTGTCACAGACTTAATGAGTCACGGTCTTGTCCTCCCAGCATTCCAGGGAGGGGGCATGATGGGGGTACGAAGGGCAGAGTGAGGAGTCTGAGCTGAGGATTCAAAGGTTTTCTGTTGATGAAGGATGATTGAGAAAATTGAATAGTTTGGGAGGAGCAGGTTCATTAAAAAGCCTTCAGAGTCAAGGAGAGAGATTTAGAATGGATTCAGCCGTTTTAGGGAGCCATCATGGAGCCCCAATAATAGAGAATGACCTGGAAAGGTTTCCTCATTTACAGGCGTCCCTGCCACTTCGCGCTTCGACTTCCGCGGCTTCACTCTGTTGCGGTTTTTTCAAATATATTCATTAAAAAGTTGGTTGAGACAGTGAAAATGATACAGCGCATGCTCAGTTGTCTGAGTCAATAATACACCCCTGTATTACAATTAAAATTAAAATCACCGTCCGTATGGACTGTAGGCCTATGCATTCGAGCACCCCAGGAATCCTTCAACACCAGGTGCAACCGCTAGAGTCTGGACCGGATTAACCGCGATAAACGAGGGACGACTGCCACATGAGGGTAATAAGAGCACCCCCTCGTAGGGCCCTCGTGGGCACTGAGGGAACACGGCAGGCCCTGCAGCGGGCCGGTGCTCAGCGAGCTCCACGCGGCTGCTGTGCTGGTGACTCCCCAGCCCCTGGAGCAGTGCGTGGCACAGAGCCGGTCAAGAGCTTTTTAAATGGGAAAACGAACAAGTAAACCGGGCAGTGAATGTCATCGGGGAAAAGCTCCAAACTGAACCTTCATTCTGCCTCGCCTCCACCGGCAACTGGCCCGTGAGGAAATCATCCACCTCTCTTGGCCTTTAATTCTCCCGTCTGTCACTGAGGGGTCAGTACTTGATGGTTGCCAAGGTTACTTTAAATGCTAAAAGTTCATTGTCCTAAAAAGTAATTAGAGGGTATGAGGAAAACAGGGAAATAGTCTCCTCGTGTAGGAGATTGAGGGAAATAGCGATGTCACTAGGGCACACGGTTTGGGGAAGGAGTCTGTTTTTAAAGTACATTGAAATAGGATAAGGTCAGTGTTGTTGTTTTTTTAATGTTTAATTACACACATAGCACATGAATCCATTCTGTTGACACATTTTTTTTTTTATCCTCACCTGAAGACCTTTTTCCATTTTTTGTTCAGATACAGTGGGAGGGAGAGAGAGAAAGAGAGAGAAACATCGACGTGAAAGGGACACATCGAGTGGCTGCCACCCGCACGACCAACCAGGGCCGGGGGCAAACTGCAACCGAGGTACGTGCCCTTAGCGGGAACCGAACCCGGGTCTCTCTGGACCGCAGGCCGATGCTGAGCCAAACCGGCCAGGGCTGTTGATACATTTTTTAACATGTTCTATTTTTTGACTACTTGTGTTTTTTATTTTTCGATGACAGTTTACTTTCAGTATTGTTTTGGATTGGTTTCAGGTGTCCCGCAGAGCGATTAGACAGTCATACATTTTATTTTGCAAAGTGTTCCCTCCGACATTCCCACCTGGCACCACGCGCAGTTATTACACTGTTACTGACTGCGTTCCACGGGCAGTGATGTCCGTCCCCATGGCTGTTCTGTTACTGCCGATCTGTACTTCTTAACCCCTTCACCGCTGTCACCCAGCCCCCCAAGCGCCCTGCGCTCGGCAACCACCAGCTCGCTCTCTGGGACGTGTTCTATTTCTGTCGTGGTGACACGCGGTGAGCTTACAATGGCAGTGGGTCGTCCAAGTGACAGGCCAGGGAGGGGGGATGCCAGGATCGAGGGCAAGAAGACACAGATTTTCCAATGAGAAATTAAATATCCAAGAAAAACCAACATCTGAGCTGAAGGCAGGTCCCCCAGAGGCCTGCCTTGTTGCGGGGCCAGCTTGGTTGGATTGCTGAGAGAGGGAGGCACTGTTGAAGGCACCACGGTGGTACAGACAAACCCAGGGAAGTTCTGTGCCAGGGAGACGGCCGCTCCACAGCGACTTCCTCCCTAGTCCTGGTGAACAGGTTCCCTGATACGTGTGTGACGTGAGCCACGGGGGAAGTAGGCTGAACGCCTGCACCATGTAACTCCCGGTCATCGGGAACAGTGCCAGCTGTCCACTCCTTGCATGGTCCTTCGCACTTCCTGACCTTGCCAGCCCATTTTGACCCGGACAGGTTGTGAATTTCTCAGGAAGGTTCTGCCTAAAGAAAGCCCCAATCCGACTTAGACTTTCCTGAGTCTACGTCACATTCGGCCAATACAAAAGACTATCTGAGGCAGTACTGTCAAAGCAGCTACCACCTCCACTGAGCTGACCTGCTCCGGGTCATCCAGACCAGCCTGCTGGGGCTGGTGGCATGCCAGGCTTCCTGCTCCAGGATGCCCCCGGTTCCACAGGCTGCCTCACTGGTGGTCCAAGAGACCAGAAGAGGTACCTTTGTCAGACACCATGGAGTGCTGTAGCTGCTTGGTTCACTAAAAATGTTGGTAAGCCCTGGCCAGTTTGGCTCAGCGGTTAGAGTGTCGGCCTGCGGTGCAGAGAGAGCCGGGTTCAGTTCCCGCTAAGGGCACGTACCTCGGTTGTAGTTTGTCCCCGGCCCTGGTTGGGTCATGCATGTGGGAGGCAGCCACTCGATGTGTCCCTTTCACGTCCATGTTTCTCTCTCTGTCTCTCTCTCCCTCCCACTCTATCTGAACAAAAAAATACGAAAATGTCCTCAGATAAGGATAAAAAAAAAAAGTTGGTAAGTAGACAATCATGATCAATGATATACACATACCTTAATGATTTCATGTTAATGTAAGACTTACAAAGGAATATTCATTTGGCAGCCTTTTAAGATAGGACCAAAGAGTCACTACGATGATGGGTCCAAATAATTTGAGTTCTTTTTCTTGAGTAAGCCATACTCAAAATAAACCATCCAGTTTGAGTATTTTTAAAGTACATCAAGAATTTTAAAACACTTTTGAATTTTTACCTCTGAAATTTTTATTATTTTTTTCTCTCTTTTTCAATGACCTCACCTGTACCCAATTCATCAGCAACTGCCTTAGCCAAGTCTTCTCTATCAAGTGTTTCCAAACAACTCAACCTCACAGAAACAGCTCTCTCTTCACATTGATCCCGTCAGTCTGTGTGGTATTCAGTGCACTTACATTATTAAAGTAACAGGTGCGCCTACCGTTTGCAGGTCCACATACAGCTCATCCACACACAGCTCTGGTGTGAGCAGACGTGTGGCCACACCAGGGCAGCCTGCCGTCAGTGAATTTTCAGACCACATGGAGGAAGTTGGTTAATTCAGCAAGGAGTCAGCCACCTAGCTATCCTTGTGTACTTAAGTTATCAAACAACAGATGGGGCCTCTCTGGCCGTCCCTTCAGTTTTCCTACTGTTCACTCTTACCACTCATCTCTTGTCTTCCCCGATTGGTCGACTTGGCACTGGAGAAGGAGGGAGATGCCGAAGGAGCAGAGGTAGGGAGAGGGAGCGATGAAGGCCATGTTTGACAAAGAATGTCCTGGCAGCTGAGGGCCAAGGGCGCTTCCTTAGCGTGGGAAGAGAGAGCTAAATTGCCCTCCTTTCCCACCATTCATTTACTCACTGGCAAGCCAGGTCCTGGTGTTAGGTTCAGGGATTCATGCTGAGTAGGACACAGTCTAGTACACCCACAACTGCAGTGCACTGGAACTGGGTTCCATGGTAGAGGTGGATAGATGCGACACTGAGCTGTCTGGACCACCAAGCTGGGTCTTCACAGATTAGTAAGAGGTTGCCATATAGACAGAGGGAAAGAGAGAAGGGGGAAAGGCCTCCGATGGAGCAGACACATGAGCAGAGGAGTGGAGCTGAAAGACGTTTGGTCGCCTTGCATGCCTGAGCGAGGAAGGGAAGACACAAGCAGACTGGACCTAAAGAACCAACTATGCCACTCTAAGGAGCCCAGCCTTTCTTCGGAGTCACTAAGGAGTCAATGCAGGTGGTTAGGCAGGAGAGTAACATGGTTATATTTGCGAAAGATCACCCTGATAGAGTGTGTTTGGGGTAAAGGAGAGTGAAGAGGATGGAGGGGAATTCTCAGGATTGAAGATGGGGTCCTCATCCCATCCTGACCTGCAGAGTTTCCTTTTATTTTAGCCATCCTAATATGTGTCATGGATTCCACATAGAAACATATTCTTCACAGCACAGCTGGGCACTTTGCCGGCTGGGATGGATGGATGGATGGATGGATGGATGGACGGATTTGTGATTCCACCACACTGGTTTTATATGTGTTGTAATCTCTTTTCTTCCCTCAGCCATCTATCTCTGTAAGAGGACAATGCAGAATAAAGCAAGGCTGGAATTGGCAGACTATGAAGCAGTAAGTATGATTATTTTGCAGGGTAGATGTGAGAGGAAAGTACCACCCTATCGGCATCTGTGTTTAGCTCGTAGTTTTCCCCTTTTCACTCCCCAGTCCTTTTCACATAGTGGAAAGGAATTCTCTCTATTTTTTCTCCTTTGTTATCAGCCCCTTTTACCATCACAATAAAATTGCATCTTTATATAAAGGACTCTCAAAACTCATCAATAAGAAAACAATTCAACTTAAAAATGGTCAAAGAACCTGAACAGACACTTCACCAAAGAGGACAGAAGGATGACAAATAAGCATATGAAAATATGTTCAGCCCTAGCCAGTTTGGCTCAGCGGTTAGAGCATCAGCCTGCAGTCCAGAGAGACCCGGGTTTGGTTCCCACTAAGGGCACGTACCTCGGTTGCAGTTTGTCCCCGGCCCTGGTTGGTTGTGCAGGTGGCAGCCACTCGATGTGTCCCTTTCACGTCGATGTTTCTCTCTCTCTTCCTCTCCCTCCCTCCCACTCTATCTGAACAAAAAATGGAAAAATGTCCTCGGGTGAGGAAAAAGAAAGAAAGAAAGAAAGAAAGAAAGAAAGAAAGAAAGAAAGAAAGAAAGAAAGAAAGAAAGAAAGAAAGAAAGAAAGAAAGAAAGTTCAACATCAATAGTCATTAGGAGATTACAGGTTAAATCCATGCTAAGATACCACTGCATACATATTAGGATGGCTAAAATAAAAAGTACTGATAATGTCAAGTGCTAGTGAGGATGTGGAGCAACTGGAACTCTCCTACATGGCTGATGGGAATGCAAAATGGTACAGCCACTCTGGAAAATGGCTTGCAGTTTTTTATAAAGTTAAACATACAGTTACCATATAACCATACAATCTCATTAGAGAAGTCAAGACTTAATGTTCACACCAAAACCTGTGCACTAATGTTCATAGCAGTTATATTTGTGATAATCAAAAGCTGAAAACAACCAAAAGGCACTTTAACAAGTGAGTGGTTCAACAAACTCTGGTACATCCTTATAGCGGACTACTACTCTGCAGTGAAAAGGAACAAACTAGTAATACATGCAACCACTTGAATGAGTATTAAAGGCCTTATGTTGCATGAAAGAAGCTGTCTAGAAAGATTACAAATTGTATTATTCCATTTATATGACATTCTTTTAAATACAAAAGTATCATGAGGGAAAACTGATCAGTGGTTGCCATGAGTTATGAGTGGAGGAGGTAGGATGTGGCTATGAAGAGATAGCATGAGGGAGTTTGGGGAGCGATGGAGCTATTCTATATCCTGATTGTGGTGGTGGCTGCATGAATTTGTATATGTGTTAAGATTCATAAAACTGTACACCAAAAGTAAAAAACTAAATTTAATATATAATAATTTTTAAAATTTGCTATGTGGTAATTTTTTATTTTAGTATATAAAATTGCATCTTTATACCCAAGTCACTCTTACTTGGCAGTAGATGCAGAATCTAGGACCAAATTCAATCCAGAAGATCAGATAGATGTATATCATATTAAATTATACTTTCCAGCTGCCTCCTCCTCCACCTCTTTCACAAGCGTTTCTGTGCAAGAACTGGAGGCCTACCACCACACTCATTTGTTAATTTTTTAAAATGCTTTTATTGATTTTTTAGGGAGAGAGAGCGATAGAAACATCAACGTGAGAGAGAAACATTGATCAGCTGCCTCCTGCATGCCCCCTACTGGAGATTGAGCCCAAGACCTAGGCTTGTGCCCTGACTGGGACTCGAACTGGGACTTCTCAGTCCATGGGATGACACTCAGTCCACGAGCCGCTCTGGTCAGGCTCCATCCCATTTAACAGAACCATTCTCAACAGAACTTGAGAGTCCCAGATAAATGTTTAAATATTTTTCATTTTTGATGGCAGAATCATTCCCCCAAACCAATTATATGTGGGGCACTGAGAATGGGGGAAATGCGCTAAATTTTCACGAACCACCAGAGGAGGTGCTGCTGAGCCTTGAAATGACTGACAGATCAACAGCTAGGAGGAGGGGCAGCCTTAAGGGCAGAGGAGTATCCTTCCCTGGATAATCCAACATTGACAGCATTTCAGATCCACCCACCCTCCAAATGCCTCTCCTGCTTTCGCTGCCTCAGTCTTCCAAAACAAGCACGATGTCCCATGATGCCAGACCTGTCACTCTTGGGTACCTGTGCCCAAGCCGACCAACCTACAGAGCCATTGCTCCCCTCTCCACTGCCCAAGGGGAATATGCATGCCATTGGCATCACAGGACCTGTGCATGACCCTCCACCCCCTCTGATCCCTCCGGTGTCACAGGACCTGTGCGTGGCCCTCCACCTCCTCTGATCCCTCTGGTGTCACAGGACCTGTGCGTGGCCCTCCACCCCCTCTGATCCCTCCGGTGTCACAGGACCTGTGCGTGGCCCTCCACCTCCTCTGATCCCTCTGGTGTCACAGGACCTGTGCGTGACCCTCCACCTCCTCTGATCCCTCTGGTGTCACAGGACCTGTGCGTGACCCTCCACCCCCTCTGATCCCGCTGGTGTCACAGGACCTGTGCGTGGGAGAAATCGTGGAGGAGGACGCAGTGCAGCATTTTACCGAGAGCCTCGGAACCTGGCTACAGTTTGCTTATCAATGGGAGCCATTAAATATAAACATGTTGGAACATTATGATCTTCCCAAGCAAACCCTGGCATGGCTATTCTGTGGATCTGAACCCCTGGGCATCCAGTCCCTGCACCCATCTGCCCTCCTGTGCCTGCAGGCACCCCTCTTTCAGAAGCCTGTTATCTTACCTGTGTGCACTCGGCACAAAGTGCTTTAACCTTGACATGACTACATCCCTTCCCTGACACGACCTGTAGAAAAGCCCCAGACTGCAGGGGCATGTGGCCCCTCCATCCTCTGTCTTCCCTGAATTTTTCATGTTTTAGAAAAGGCCCTAAACAGAAACAAGACAGCATCGGCTCCTAACGTGTTTTATTCAGTTTTGCTTCTCTTGCCGTATAATGTTCTGCATAGGCATCTGTGAAGAATGTGACATTAAAATGTTCTTTCAGGTCAAAGTTCTGCCTAAAAGTGGTTAGAAACTAAAAAAAAAAAAGTATTTTGTTTTCAAAATACAGTAATTTTATTATTACATATGTTCTTGGTAAAAATAAAAATTCAAACAGCAAAGAAAGGAGAGAAAATAACCTACAGTCCTTCTCCCTAAAGCTTTTTTCTGTACATACATATTTTTTCTTTACAAAAAGATTTGAATCATCCCATAAACATTATTGTGTAAGCTGCTTCTCTGCTCACTCTTATACTGTAAGTATGTTGGGGATTTTTTCATGTCAATAATAATAATCTGCATTATCATTTAAAAATTTTTTTTTCTTTATTGATTTTAGGGAGAGAGGAAGGGAGAGGGAGAGAGAGAGAGAAACATCAATGAGAGAGAACATCGATTGGCCACCTTCTGCATGCCCCTCACTGGGGATTTGGCTCACAACCTGGGTATGTGCCCTGACCAGGAATAGAACTAGCAAACTCTTGGTGCATGGATCGATGCTCAACCACTGAGCCACACCGGCCGGGCTACATTATTTTTTTAATTCTCACCTGAGGACATTTTTTTAATTTATCTTCAGATAGAGTGGGAGGGAGAAAAGGGGAAGAGAGAGAGAAAAACATCGATGTGAGAGAGACACATCAACTGGTCGCCACCCACACGACCCCAACCAGGGCCAGAGACAAACTGCAACCGAGGTACGTGTCCTTAGCGGGAACCAAACCCGGGACTCCCTGGTCCACAGGCCAATGCTCTAACTGCTGAGCAAAACCGGCCAGGGTTACATTATCATTTTTGACAGCTGCCTAATATTCCATGTTATGACTGTGTCATAATTTACATAACTACTCCCTGATTGAGTGACATTTAGGCATTACCATTGCTTTTTATAAATAATGGAACAATCAAAAGGACAGTTTTGTGGAGGTACTTGTACACCAAGCCTTAATAATAACTGAGTTTACATGTGTTGATCGTCAACTGAGGCCCCTTTTATATTAATAATCCACTAATGAGGGTAATCAATTAGTGTTGGCATGAGCTCTATGAAAACACACAGCATAATGTGGGCTCCAGCCTTGCATTCCATCAGAATTAGGCAGATCATTAGGGCACCTGTCAACCCCCCTCCTCACTGTCCTCTTGTGCCACTAGGTAAGTCTACAGACTTAGAGAAAAGGCTTCTTCCCTCTTCCTCTTTTTTTTTCATCCTCACCCAAGAACATTTTTGCATTTATCTTCAGATAGAGCAGGAGAGAGGGGGTGGGAGGAAGAGAGAGAGAAACATTGACACGAGAGAGACACATCGACTGGTTGCCACCCACACGACCCCAACCGGGGCCAGGGACAAACTGCAACTGAGGTACATGCCCTTAGCGGGAACCAAACCCGGGACTTTCTGGTCCACAGACTGATGCTCTAACCACTGAGCAAAACCAGCCAGGGCCCCTCTTCTTCCAAAGGCAACCTTGGATGCCTTTTCTTTCTGTTTTGAAGTTTTCTTTCATGAACATCACAAACATAGATACTCCTTTTCCCCACTATTGAGTCTGGACTTTCAAAGACATGAATGCCAAGTCCTCTGGGTTCTAATTTCCTGCCTTCTTCCAAGACCTCTTCTGGGAGACGAGTCTCGCATTCTTAGTTTAGCTCTCGAAATTGTCCAGTAGGTTGCAGAGACCCCCTTATGCCTTCCCCAAATCCTGCACGCATAGCCACAGACCATTCTCCTCACCTTCAGCAGCCTTTACGACAAGTCTGCATGAGTTCTGTTCTTGTAAAACACATAAGAAGAGAGGAATCAGGCGAACCACAGAGATTTCAGACTTAACGGGTGTGTAAATGAATATTAATAGCTCTGCTCTGTACAGCAGCCTCTGGTGCAAAGTCAAATCGGGTTCATGTCCAGTGGATTTAAAGTGGGGCCCCGCTATTTTGTTGGGAGTAACCGAAATAGATGGCTGCCCTATAATAAGCATCAGTATCGATGTGCAGACTCATGATGATTAATGCTTTCTTGTTCATTTTCATTTCTCATTAGGAAAACTTAGCGAGACTCCAGAGGGCCTTTGCAAGGAAGTGGGAATTCATCTTTATGCAAGCAGAAGCCCAAGTAAAGTAGGTGAACTTACTAGAGACCCTGCAAAGACAGGAAATACCTGGAGTTTGCAGGGGGTGTGGGTGTGGGGCTGCCAAAGTGAGGTTTCCTTCCACAGCTGGCCGGCTGTGGTTAGTCACTGTCGTCTCTGAGAGCAACTGAGTAGAAATCAAGGTCATCTTTGTAACCAATGGCATCTAAAATAATTTCAGAAGTGTTTATTCCACTTTGGCTTTCCTCCCAAATGTAGAACTCTGGTTATGAGAAGAGTATTTATTCCCCAAAGAGGTTTTCAATTCTTCTGTGCTCAGAGGCTGGGAAAGATCAGACCGACTCTGCCTGCAGATCTGGAGATTTTGTCCACATAGGAAACGTGGTGGAGTTTTAGGGAGGCCAGCGGTTAGCCCTTCAGCCCTCCCCACAGAGGTTCAGAACCAATAAAAAATAAGGCACACAAGCCAGACATTTGGAATCCAAAATGTCAGATTATTACTGATTTCTACGCTGGAATTAAAATCACCCACCCTGGGCTGAGCTGCGTACCTGGGGTGCATGCCTGGGGGCGCCCCCAGGGCCGAGTTGACCCCGTCAGCTCATTGCCTGCTGAGAACAGGCATTCGGAGAGAACCAGCCTGAGCTTTCTCGATTTCTTCGTTCACATCCTCCACTAAGCCGTCACCCTTCCTCCCCCGGAGGACAAGAGATGAAGGAAGGAGAACAGTGGGAGTGTTTTCCCCTCTCAGGGCGCATAGTGGAAATTCCCTCCTCTCTAAGGAAACAGGAGAAGTGGCCAGTGAGTGTCCCCCAGCCCACCAACATGGACTTGCCCAGTTGGCTTCCGTCTTGCCCTTTCCAGCAGTGGTCCATGGCTTAGCCAGGAGGGTTCACAAAAGAATTAGGTCAGAGGAGGGGAGGGAAAGGATGCTGAGCTGGAAGAAGGTGAATCCCTTTTCTCTGGGCACCACTTGCACCTGAGCAGGGACCCCCGTGGGGTCTGCAGGGGATCCCCTTGTGTCCCCTGGGGAAGTGTCACAGTCCATCGCCTAGGGTCAAGCTCAGGCTGGGGGGGGGGGTGAGCACTGGTCACGAGCATGGTTGAAAACGACCTGAGGTCACTGTACCCAGTGGCCTGCATGGTGCCATGATTCTCACCTCCCTCGGCTGCCTTCCTCCCGGCCGTGGTTCCAGCCTCTGCTGTCCACCCCATGCTCCCAGCAGTCCCCGAGGGAGGTGGGCCCCAGGCAGTGGGTGCTGAGCTGCAGCAGGAGGAGCGCAGGCCCCTGGGAAGGAGAAAGCAGGAGGGTGGGTGATGGGTGGGGAGGCAGGATTGAGCATGTGTACTCAGAAGCACCCAGAAGCAAAGAGGAGCATTAATTTTACTTTCAGAATCACACAGCCTTGCGTATTATAAAAGGAGGGGAGATTGTCGCTTTGTATATATATGGCATTCCTTGATTACTTTTTGATGAACTGTGATTACATTATAATGGTGGGCCATTTAAGTACACAATAATTATCACAAAAATCACAGGGTGATTCTGGGTTTATTTCAGTCCAATAAACTAAAGTGCTCCCAAAGGGGCCAAGAACCAGAAGTTACGTGGCAATTAATCTGAGTTACTTTTTGCTTAGAGAGATAATATGAAGCAGTACAGGCTTTTTTGTGTCTAAAAGCCTCTTATCTGTGTTCCTGATGGAAACATAGAATCTGTCTTTGTCACCTGAAATATCCCTCTTGCAGCCTGTGCCCCCGACAGAGGCCTGTGATACTGGCCCTCTGAATCCTGTCACACGCCAGGGCTGTCCCTCTGCGTTCAGAAAGCCAGCCTGTTTAAGGGACTCTTAAGACACATAATTGCAGCATTTTCAAGACATTTCTACTGACTCTAAATCTAAAGCAAATGTTAAAATTTGAGGATGAAACAATGCAAGCCTGTGGTTATCCTTCCTATAATTTGAATATACAGTATCCACTTTGATGGGGTGGGACACGCCAATGGATGATTCTTAATAATCCAAATCTTACTCTTTCAAATGGATAGATGCGTTCCTGCGCTCCCCTGGGCCCGCCATGGTCGCTACACACGTGTGGGAGTTTGCAGTCTAACCTAAAACACGTTCCCTCACCGTACGTGGACTTCCTGAGGTTTCCTCGGGGGGCTGTCCACCCACGGGTCACAGCTCTGCGCAGAGCGGGGCCACACGGGTGCCCTTGAACAGGGAAGACGAACACAAAGCCTCTGACTTCCTTCCTTTGCTCTTTCAGGATTGACCGGAAAAAGGACAAGACAGAAAGGAAGATTTTGGATAGTCAAGAACGGGCCTTTTGGGACGTCCACAGGCCAGTGGTGAGAACACCCTGCTGGGTGTCTGGGTTTTCTTGTTCCCCGCTCCCTTCGCCGGAAAGACATGACCACCTTTAGCCACCAGGTGTCTCCGTCTTGAGAAAACTGTCAAGCTTTGTGCAATGGGTTTGCCACTCATTCATAGAATCCCGGTAGATTTCCTGGAATGTAAGCCACTTCTACGTTGCATGAATTATCCACCCATGCAAATAGGAAATTGGAAATGGGGAGCTGTGGGAATTCCACCTGGGACCTGTGGGCCCCGGAAGTTTACAGTCCCAAGTAAGCAATCCCCACATGTACTGTTATTCAGCTCTAACCCTTAGAGCATTCTATTCCAACTGCAGCCGATTCTTGTTATTCACGGTTACGTCCCTGGTGGGCCCCAAACCCTGAACCATTGCTGACCTACTGCCTTGAGCCATTGTGTCGACAGATCAGAGCCTCGCCTTGTTTAATGGGTGCTTCTGTTTAAAGACACCTTACTGTACATTGTTAATTCATTAAGATTGAAGTCACGGCCACCAGCACTGTGTCTCGTGCCAGAATGAAACTCATCCCCCACACATTTTCTCCATAAGGCACAGCGTGACCTCTGGCACTTGGGAACACTAGACAACGCTATGTTTGGGGCCGTTTTATTTTATTTTATTTCATTGATTTTAGAGAGAGAGGAAAGGAGAGAAAGAGAGAGAGATAGGAACATGGATAAACAAGAACATCGATTGGCTGCCTCCTACATGCCCCACACTGGGGATTTGGGTCACAACCTGGGCATGTGTCCTGACTGGGATTGAACCGGTGACCTCTTGGTGCATGGGTTGATACTCAACCACTGAGCCACACCAGCCGGGCATGGGGGCTGTTTTAAACAGCAAAATCACCAACAAAATAACTACAGAAATGTGCATATATTGGCACTAAATACAGCTTGAAAAGGACACTTATTTACAGTATGAAAAGTTGAAACAAGAAGGCAGAGTATCACCTTCGTCAACCTTAGCTGGGAACACCCACATTGGACAACTCAAATTTTCTGTTGCTCTGTAAATGCCCATGACTGCACCACAAGTATTGACTTAGGGGTTATCGATAAGTTTTAGCAGGTAGGCAGATTCACAAGTACAAAATCCATGACATTTGACCGTGCTTCTAATCTCATATTATTAAAACACACCTTGCATTTCCCTCATGAAATGGAACTAAAATGAATGAACTATTTCAGCCTTCCTAAAAGCTGGTTGAGAGCATAACTAAGGAAATAATTCCCCAGCCCGATACTGGAGCGTTTCAGTCGGTAAGATGTGTGAAATAACAAGGACTGTGACTGAAGCGACCCTGTCACTTCAAATAATAAGTCTGCTCTTATGAATTGGACACTAGACCCCCTACATATCATCCTGAGATAGTATAAGCTTTTATACCTCATATGAGAACTCTATAGAGGGACACATAACATCTTTGTAAAAATTATAAATGGCAAAACGGAGATAATCCTGCATTATAGGTCATGGGAAAGATAAAGATCGGTTCTGACCGCCCTGGCCAGTTTGGCTCAGCGGTTAGAGCACCAGCCTGCGGTCCTGAGAGACCCGGGTTCGGTTCCCGCTAAGGGCATGTACCTTGGTTGCAGTTTGTCCCCGGCTCTGGTCAGTCGTGTGGGTGGCAGCCACTCGATGTGTTTCTTCACATCGATGTTTCTCTCTCTCTCTCTCTGTTCCTCTCTCTCCCTCCCACTCTACCTGAACAAAAAAAAAAAAAAAAAATCGGTTCTGATGGTGTCACTTGGCCTGAATTGGAAGGATGATTTTCACTCGGTAATTTATGTGATGGTTTTTATTTCTCAGCCAGGCTGCGTGAACACCACAGAAATGGATATCAGAAAATGTCGGCGTTTGAAGAACCCGCAAAAGGTTAAAAAGGTTCGCTCGTTTAGCTGAATTAAAAATGCTTGATGTGAATGGCCCTTTCCTTTCTGCTACTGTCCAAACAATAACTCGCTATTTGTGAATTCTACCCCCATTTCGTCCCTTGAAACCATTTCATTCATTTATTCTGCAAATATTTGTGGAGTGGCTGATGTGTGCTTAGCAAGTTTCTCGCTGCTGAAGTAGGTCTTCCCCACGCTGGCGGCCTGGCCAGGATGAGAGGAGCCAACGGGCAGTGGGCAGTGCCGGGAGGGCTGCATCGGTGGTTCCGCAGCTCCAGGCGGAGGCCCAGACGGCTTCCCCAGGGCTTCTGAAGCTAGCTCACGTACGCGGGGCCTCAAGGGCAAACGGCAGTGGGCTAAGGGGAGGAGGCGGGAGGAAAGCAAACTAACGGCACAAAAAGTGTGGAAATCCTACCGCTGAAAGTGAGCTTAGTGATTTGAAGGTATTTTGGTATAGGGAGGTCATCCAAACTCGAATCACCATCTTGCCCAACTGTGAATGAGCTGAGGATCACTGTGGTCACTGTCCCGAGGGGGCAGTGGCCATGGCACACCCAAGGGTGCCACCCCCAGCCTGCCTCACAGTTGGAGCATCCCTCCGTCACAGCAGCACGGGGACCATGTTGTGGGAGAACACATCTGTCCTCCAGACTCTTTATTCCGAAAGGTCAGAGATGTGTCCCCGGGCGGCCAATCCTCTCCTTCTCTCATATGTATGTGGCATGACCTACACATCAGCTTCCTGAATCTACTTACATAGCTCAGTCTTCACTGAGATAGTGGTACCCACTCACTGTAGTATGTTTTCTAATGTTAATCTTAAAACGGCCTCATTTAATCTTTGAGGGCCCCCTAATTGTGTTAGAATCGCGTCCCAGAACTTCATGGAGCCCTCAGCTACCTCGCTGGCCCCTTCTTGATTTCAGCTGTGCTCTGTGTACCTTTGGGGCTTTGTTTCTCTCCCGACGCAAAAGTTGTCTTTAATCTGACTCTAACACAAGGGACAGCTTAAAAAATAGCCATAGCTGTGGGCATGTGGAGAAACTGAGGCCAGAAAACTATTTAGTTTAAAGCAAAAAATCTGCAACCCTGCCATCTCGGGTTTACCAGATGGGTGTGCCATCTGCAGGCCAACGGAGAATCTAGTCTTCAGCAGCTGTTAACCTTCCTGTGTCTCAGAATCTCCTGGGCCATTTGACAAAGTGCAGATTCATAAGCCCCGCCCACAAAGATTCTGACTCAGTAGGTCCATGTGGGCTCAGCCAAGTGCATCTTACCAATAGACCCAGATAACTCTGAAGATGGCCTACGGACCATGTTGGGAGAAACACTGATATACAAGGGGACCGTTTCAGCTGTGAGAGGAAGGATTTTCTAGCAGTGGTGGCCACAGATAGGACAGGGCTGCCTCAGAGACAAGGCTCCCTCCCTGGAGGAGTTCAAGCAGAGGCTGCTCATTCGTTGTTGGGGTGTCCGAGAGGAGACTGGAAACCGGCTGAGTGGTTGAGCTAGCTCGCCCGTAAGGCCCCTTCGACTCCGAGGTGCGTGATTCTGTGCTCTGGCTTCCTCTCCAGTCAGTGTATGGCGTGGCCGACGAGTCCCAGTCGCAGAGCCCCGTGCACATCCCCAGCCAGCCAGTCAGGAAGACTACGAAAGAGGACATCCGGAAACAGGTGAGTGAAGGACCCCTGCCCTCCCAGGAGACCTGGCCCGTTTGAAAACCTCTCAGTTTCCCCTCTGAGAGCGGAGGGGCTTCCAGATCCTGGAAACCACAGGGGAACAGCTCGAACCCTTGAGCGCTGTGTGTGAACAACCCGTGGAGGCGTGAGGGGGGTTCTCTGCAGGGCCCTCCAGCAGGGAGGAAGAAGGACGTGAACGAGTCATCCCAGCGCCGTGGGGTGACTGCTATAGTCTGGTCTCCACGGGAGCTGGAGCAGAGAGGGACTCGTGTTACAGGGTCCTTAAAACTGTAATGTGCTTCCTGAGGAAGTGACACAAAAGGAAAGTTCATGAACAAAGCAAGCTCCACCCCCAACGCCATTTCAGCATTATTTGATTCAGTGTCATCTTAGTTCACGATGAGGAATTAACGGGTCAACCCACGTCAGGAGACAGTAGCTAATTACATTATGCCTTTCTGGGGTTCTCTGATAATTAAGTAACTTCAGAGTCTACTCCTTATATTATGCTTTATTGGCTTCTGGGTGGGGGAACACTAAGTAGTAGACTGCTAGGTGCCTGCCCTGGACAAGTTTCTTATTGGGTGGGGAAGAGGAAACAGATGTACGTAAGCAGCTATTTAATGATTCTAGTCAAGAGCACCGAGCACACGGGTGTGATGTAGGTGTGGAAGGTGTGCAGAGGAAGGTCACTGGCCAGGTGTTACGGTGTGTGTATTGCCTGTCCATGCTGCTGCTAAGCTTTGTGGAGTATATACTGCCTTTGGGTTTGTGATCGCTTTGGGGAGTCAGGACCTAAGCTATAGCACAGCACTGGAGAGTACGTGACATGGGCTCCACTGTGAATCCTGGCGGCCCTGGGAACTTTCAAAAGACCAAGTGGTTGCCGGAGGGTTCAAGTCTGTCCAGAGCAGGTGTTAGGATCTGATGGAAATACAGGATTTGGGTTCCCAGGGTGAATGGGGGGGGGGGGGGGGGTTCGAGTTCGGTCCTAACACCTCTGTTCTGTCGTTCCCCAGATAACGTTTTTGAATGCACAGATTGACAGACATTGTTTAAAAATGTCGAAAGTGGCTGAAAGGTATGTTTCCCCTCAGTAAAATGACTGCTTTCTTCTCATTGAGCAAAGGAGAAATGTTGGGGGGTTATGGCTAATAAGGGTGTCCCAGGCCAAGAGGCGTTCCTGAAACATGGCAGAAAAGCAGAGGCCGAAGTCACAACCAAGCCGGCAGACCTCCCCTGAGTGATGTCAAGAAGTGTTCTGTTGCTAAAGCTTTTCAGGGGAGCCCACGGGACCTTGTCATTCAAGGTCAATGTCCTTAAAAGCTCCATAATGCACCTTTGCCTTCAGTCCCTTGATTAATTTAAATGGAATGGCTCCCTTTTCAGCCATAAAATGCCCAGATTCACTTTATAGGGAGAAAGAGATTGCGTGCTAGCCAAGCAAGCAGGAGGGGACCCGACCGTCGCGAGGCGTTCCGCCTCCCCACACCTCCAGCCCCTGAACTGCATCAAATCGATGGTAAAGCGCGTGGCGCCCACAGCCCGGCTTCCGCAGCCGAGGTGCGGGTCTGCACCAGCAGCGGTTCCACCCTGTTAGCTCGTGGGAGACACAATTTTGTCAACTAAATGGTCTCTTTTTCAACTCACAGTGAAGAGACAAGACCACCTGGGGAATCTGTATGAAGTCAATCTGATCAGGCAGCCTGAACACTGAACATTTTTTTGTCTATGTGCTGTTGCGAAAGCGATGACCAGTGTCTGAAGGATGGAGGGCTTATGTGGGGTCCTAGTGTTTATTGGATATCAGAGTACAACGGGTCTTTACGCCCAGCTCACACAGGGGGCTGGACGTGTGTTCAACCTGTATCCTGTCTCTGCTGGTCCCTTCCTTCTGGATAAATGACAGGTCGAGACTAACGACACCTTACTCCAAAACCCAAAACCTGAATCAGCGCTCTGCCTTCAGGTGGCCAAGGACCAACCCAGACCCGGGCTCCTGTCTTTGATGGTGTCGTGTATCTCTCCCAGGGTTGCTCAGTGGTGTCACTGTGGACATTCTGAGCTGAGCACTGCTTTGTTGCCGGAGGCTGTCCTGTGCATTACAGGACATTTAGCGGCATCCCTGTCCTTTGTCCACTAAATGCCAAAACCCTACCTCTCAGTTGTGACAATCAAGCATGTCTGCAGACATCGCCAGATATCCCCGGGAGGGCAAATCAAGAATCACTAATGCAAATGCTGCAGGAGGTAGCCCTGGCCGGAGCTCAGTGCACACCAAGACACAATTGTGGGGGAGTCATTATTTCCACGGCCTCTGTAGGCTCTGGAACCACCGCACCCCACTATCATAACGGGGGGGGGGTGGCTTTGAGCTTTGGAGTACCCAGCTCTAAAACTGCTTTCTAGATCTCACTGTGGTTGCCTTTGTCCCAGAAGAGTACTGGTGAGTGACGCAGCTGGGGTGACCTCGATTCCCCTGGTGTGAGGAACTGGAGCCTTTTTCTCTGTGAACAAGGGACAGGAATGGCCGTCCTGCTATACTGGGAGGGTGGGGCCCGCAGTGCTGGCCTTCACGGGGCACTCCAGCGTCTGCCCTCTCGGGAGAGTGTGCGGGGGCGCATCTTTCCCTGGGGCCAGTCGCTCGGGTCCAGTGGTAGTGAGCATGATGATCCAGGTGGGGGTGGGGGTGAAGATGGAGATCCCCAAACCCTAGCTCTGGGGATTCGGGTTCCGTGGCTCCAGGTAGCTCTAAGGAAGCTGAGGATTTGGTGAAGCCATTGTCCACCACGTGGACTGACCTGAGAGCTCAGAAGCCATTGTCCACCACGTAGACTGACCTGAGAGCTCACCTCAGCAGGGACACCAGCTTTGTCTTATCCTGGCCTGAGGAAGGAGCCTGACCCAGTCTGCCTGAGGGCGGCCCTCCGGGGCTGGGGGCTGGGGGCAGTAGGGAAGAGAGACAGCTGAGGTGGGGGAGGGGACCTGGCAGGGCCCTTGTTTGTTTGTTTTCAGGCCATGCAGAGGGGCCCCACCTGGTGCCACCTCATTATGCTTGAGAGGCTGCTCACCTCCAGGAGGTTCTTCCAACCAGCCGCTCCTCCCTCCGCAGTTGGAAGCTGTCCTGTGTCTCCGCCCAGCAGAGACTGGATTTTATTCCCAGCAGCAATAACTGGCAACTTTTCAATGTGACACAAGGGTTTTTCATTAGCCACAAGGAAACTCCCAGATAGAGAGGAGGAGGGAGAGGAGCCGGTGTTCGCAGGAGATAAAGCAGCCTGGAGCCTTGGCCTGTCAGGGGCTCTGCGGGGTGGGGGCAGGGAGGTGGCACTGGCAGCTGGCCTGGGGTTCGACTGCTCAGCTCCAGAGGTGAAAGCTGAGCTGTCTCAGGTGGGCACACGTTCCCGTGCCCGATCTGTTCTCCCAGGCCTGCTCCTGGTGAGCGGTGGTCACTAGCCAGAAGCCATCAGGTAAAAGACGGCATCCCCCTGAGAACAGGTGCACCCTGTTTTTCTCTTAGCTCCCTGAGCACTGATCTTGGGAGAGGTGGGAGGGCTGGTGACCAAAAGTCCAGTTCTAAAAAGGCCAGAGTCCGGGTTGGGTCAAAGGGTGCAGCCAGGCCCCGCCAGGAAGGGAATAAGGAAACTAAACGAAAGGCAGAACGGACAATTCAGGGGGTGGGGGTGGAGCCAGCCATTGGGTTTGGATCCTGCCTCTTTAAAGGGGAGAGAGCAGTAGCACTTAACTTACAGGGTTAATGAGTTCATCCATGGGTGAGCGTGGTCCAGGTCTCGGCACTAACTGCACACACAGTGAACGTAAACGATTATTATTTCAGTGTGGTGCCAAACGGTGCTCTGGAACGGAGCAAACCCGAGTGCGTGGGATGGAATGACCTGGGTGTGTGGTGTTCAGAGGAGCAAAGGGCAGGCCCAGGAGTGAGGCCGGCCCTGCGGGAGGCATTTTTGTGCGGAGGTAGTTCTTCCCTCCCTCTTTCTTCTCAGTCTTCGGCAGAGAGCCTGCCTACTGCCTAAGGCTGGCCCTGTCGTCCACGCTGTCTCCTTAGGCTGCTCCTGTGGCACCATTGTGGTGCCTTGGGGGGCGGGGGGGCCGTGCATGAAGGGGCTGGCCCTTCTGCACAGATATTCTCCAGTCATCTCAGTGTCAGCTATTGTCCCATTGTCCCCATGAATGCCAACATCATGGCAACCAAACTTCATGTCCTAAGCTGCCTTTTATCCCTGGAAACAGTACAAAAGCCAGTCTGAGATATTAACTAGTTTTTGCTTCAGGTGATACGGTCCCTGTACACACACCTGAATTCTCCAGATAAATGACACTGAACACCCTAAGCTTTTTATTTTAACTATTTAAAATGAGAATCTGGCCCTGGCCGGTTTGGCTCAACGGTTAGAGCGTCGGCCTGCGGTCCTGAGAGACCCGGGTTCGGTTCCCGCTAGGGGCACGTACCTCGGTTGCAGTTTGTCCCCGGCCCTGGTCGGTTGTGCGGGTGGCAGCCACTCGATGTGTCCCTTTCACATCGATGTTTCTCTCTCTCTCTCTCTGTTCCTCTCTCTCCCTCCCACTCTACCTGAACAAAAAATGGAAAAATGTCCTCGGGTGAGGATAAAAAATAAAATAAAATAAAATGAGAATCTGTCTTCAATATAGTTCATGCGCTTGTCTTCTGAAAGAAAGGACACACATTTCAGTTACTTCTTCTGGATGACTTGGGGTCCGTGCTCTTACACTGTATCTTAAAACTTTGTCAGTGGTCAGAGTCTGATCAAGTGCCACCAGCTGCTTCTCTTTCCCTAAATGGCCCCAGGACATCATGTTCTTTGAGTCTGTTCCTGCTTTTTAGTTTTTGGTTTGTTTTCTTATTCCTGTCAACATATTTGTCTCCAGTAGCCCTTTCTCCTCCCCAATCCGTGGCAGATCACATGTATCGGTTAGCTATTGCCTCGTAACAAAAGACCTCAAAACCGTAGTGGCTTCAAACAGCAGGCAACTCTGCGGCTCGTGTGTGCGCGCGCACCAGCTACCTCTGTCGCCTCCCCCTGGTGTCTGTGCACTGAGCAGGCAGCTCTGTGATCTGGGCTGGGCTCTCTCATGTGTTTGGCTTCAGCTGGTTTAGAATGACCTCATCTGGGACAGCTGGGCTCTCCTCGCATGGTCTCTCATCCTCCAGCAGGCTAGTTTGACCTTCTTCACATGGGGTAGCAGGGTTCCAAGAGAGAGAGCAGAGGCTTGTCCAGCCTCCTGAGGCTTGGAACTGGCTCTCAGTCACTTCTGCTGCATTTTATTGGCTTAAGCAAGTCACAGCCCAGACCAGATTCAAGGGCTAGGGAAACAGACTTCATTTTTTTTACATTGATCTGCCACACTAGGAAAATCCAATAACCAAGTTCCTTAGCCTTGATCCTAACGCACAAGTCTTCTCTGAGAGGTGCGCTCTTCCTAATTACAGGCAGTGAGCCTTGAGGCATAGAGTTTATTTCATTGTAGAAAGAGGCCCTTTTGGTCACTTACCTCACCTGTGTTCTCTCAACAGTTGAAGTTGCCAAATAAAAGGTCTTCCTTTTCTTTGTGAGGGTCCTCAAGGACCCCTTCTTATATTCCCCGAAGCCCTACGGCACTTGACAAGCCAGCTTTGAGAAAGTAAAAGTCTACGTTTTCGTTCCAAATGTTCTGGAAAGTCTCTGTGTTTTCCTGGGTGTCCCCAGAGACTTCCCTCAAGGTCGCTGGGGAATCACACCACGCGGCCACACACGGGACAGATCAAGCCGTGTCCTTGTGCATCTGCTCAGGTGCTCGGCTCGTCCTCACGCTGCGCCGCGGGCCGTGTGTGCGTCACAGCTCACGGCTGAATTGACTTCTTATCATCTTGCCCATCTCGAGATCGCTGCTGTTCCCTCTGCCTCCTGACCCTCTGTGATCATGAAATGTAATTAATAAAATGACATAAGACAGCAAGGGGCTGCATACCCTAAGGGTCTATTAAAAACCTGCTAGGGTGATAGAAATCCGTGAACTTCATGTCTAATGATAGTTTCTCGGGGGGGGGGGGGGGAGCCAAAG